ATTGATTGATTGACTATGACTTTTCAGATCACCCAGTAATGCTATCTGCAAGGTTAGTTCCAGGTAAATATTGCAATCCTTTAGCCATTCCTGGACCTGTGTCCAAAAACAAGCTACAAATGGACAGAATCAAAACAAATGATCTAATGATTCTGTCTCTTCACAGCAAAATCTGCAGAGCTGGGAAGATTGTATCCCCCATATAAATAACATTCTATTGGTAGCAAGAATTTTATATAATAATTTAAATTGAAAGATTCTAATTTTTGAATCCGGTGTCGTTTTGCGTGTCAGTTCATAAACACTATGCCATGGGATCGGTACGTCAAAGATCTCTTCCCAACTATTTTGCAATCTATATGGGACGGCTGTCAATCCTTTGGTCCTTAAGTGAAACTGATATACTTTTTTATTTATCACAGTTTTCCTTAACCAATTATGTTCTTTAATGCAAGGCCGACAGACAAGTTCCTTACTTTCTCCCCCTTCAACTTTCCTCTTCCACTTTTGCGGTAAGGCTGCAATTATTTGGTTGTAATTTTGGGTAGAGCAGACATTTCCATATGTTTTTGTTAGCTGCATGTGCGACATAACTCCACCAGTCCTACCGATGATATCATTTACGAAGATTATACCTTTTTTAAACATTCTGTCAAAAAACAAAGGTTTTTTGTCAATTAGTAGATTTGAATTTAACCACAATATTTGTTGCATTATTTGTTCTGTCGTTTCTGGAGGATTAAATTGAAATTGCAACCAACTTTCTATGGCTTGTTTTAGAAATAGTGACATTTGGGAGATTATTTCCTTTTCAAATAACTGAAAGTGAGAGGTTGTAATCTGAATAAAGGGAAAAAGGTCTTTCTTGAACAGTGGGTGAGACAATCTTACTAATTTGCTTGAGAACCAGTTCGGATTTAAGTATAACTTTTGGATGACTGAAGATTTTAGTGATAGGTCTAATGCTTTAATATTTAATACTTTCTGTCCTCCGAATTCATATTCATTATATAAATATGCTCTTTTAATTTTGTCTGGCTTGCCGTTCCAAATAAAATTGAATATTTTTTTCTCATATAATTTAAAAAACTGTTTGCTAGGCGTAGGCAAGACCATAAGCAAATAGGTAAACTGGGATAATACCAAAGAGTTAATCAGGGTGATTTTTCCACAAATTGACAGGTATTTTCCTTTCCATGGTAGTAAGATCTTATCTATTTTTGCTAACTTTCTATTAAAATTTATTGAAGTGAGATCATTTATTTCCTTTGGGATATGTATTCCGAGTATATCCACATCACCATCAGACCATTTTATTGGTAAACTCCATGGTAATGTAAAAATTGTATTTTTTAGTGATCCAATACGTAATATAGTACATTTGTCATAATTTGGTTTTAATCCAGAGAGGTTAGAAAATGTATCTAGATCCTCTATGAGGCTGTGGAGGGATTCTAGTTGTGGATCTAAAAGAAAACATGAATCATCTGCGTACAATGAGGTCTACAATCTTGTCCCTGACATCCTTGGAGAGCTCTTTGGTCTTGGCCATGGTGGAGAGTTTGGAATCTGATTGATTGATTGCTTCTGTGGACAAGTGTCTTTTATACAGGTAACAAACTGAGATTAGGAGCACTCCCTTTAAGAGTGTGCTCTTAATCTCAGCTCATTACCTTTATAAAAGATACCTGGGAGCCAGAAATCTTTCTTATTGAGAGGGGGTCAAATACTTATTTCCCTCATTAAAATGCAAATCAATTGATAACATTTTTGACATGCGTTTTTCTGGATTTTTGTTGTTGTTATTCTCTCTCTCACTGTTCAAATAAACCTACCATTAAAATTATAGACTGATCATTTCTTTGTTAGTGGGAAAAGGTACAAAATCAGCAGGGGATCAAATGCTTTTTTTTCCCTCACTGTAAAACACTGGTAGAATACATTAAACTACAGTGGGGGGGAAAAAAAGTATTTAGTCAGCCACCAACTGTGTAAGTTCTCCCACTTAAAAAGATGAGAGAGGCCTGTAATTTTCATCATAGGTACACGTCAACTATGACAGACAAAATGAGGGAAAAAAATCCAGAAATCACATTGTAGGATTTTTAATGAATTTATTTGCAAATGATGGTGGAAAATAAGTATTTGGTCACCTACAAACAAGCAAGATTTCTGGCTCTCACAGACCTGTAACTTCTTCTTTAAGAGGCTCCTCTGTCCTCCACTCGTTACCTGTATTAATGGCACCTGTTTGAACTTGTTATCAGTATAAAAGACACCTGTCCACAACCTCAAACAGTCACACTCCAAACTCCACTATGGCCAAGACCAAAGAGCTGTCAAAGGACACCAGAAACACAATTGTAGACCTGCACCAGGCTGGGAAGACTGAATCTGCAATAGGTAAGCAGCTTGGTTTGAAGAAATCAACTGTGGGAGCAATTATTAGGAAATGGAAGACATACAAGACCACTGATAATCTCCCTCGATCTGGGCTCCACGCAAGATCTCACCCCGTGGGGTCAAAATGATCACAAGAACGGTGAGCAAAAATCACAGAACCACACGGGGGGACCTAGTGAATGACCTGCAGAGAGCTGGGACCAAATTAACCTAGCCTACCATCAGTAACACACTACGCCGCCAGGGACTCAAATCCTGCAGTGCCAGACGTGTCCCCATGCTTAAGCCAGTACATGTCCAGGCCCGTCTGAAGTTTGCTAGAGTGCATTTGGATGATCCAGAAGAGGATTGGGAGAATGCCATATGTTCAGATGAAACCGAAATATAACTTTTTGGTAAAAACTCAACTCGTCGTGTTTGGAGGACAAAGAATGCTGAGTTGCATCCAAAGAACACCATACCTACTGTGAAGCATGAGGGTGGAAACATCATGCTTTGGGGCTGTTTTTCTGAAAAGGGACCAGGACGACTGATCCGTGTAAAGGAAAGAATGAATGGGGCCATGTATCGTGAGATTTTGAGTGAAAACCTCCTTCCATCAGCAAGGGCATTGAAGATGAAACGTGGCTGGGTCTTTCAGCATGACAATGATCCCAAACACACCGCCCGGGCAACGAAGGAGTGGCTTCGTAAGAAGCATTTCAAGGTACTGGAGTGGCCTATCCAGTCTCCAGATCTCAACCCCATAGAAAATCTTTGGAGGGAATTAAAAGTCCGTGTTGCCCAGCGACAGCCCCAAAACATCACTGCTTGGAGGAATGGGATCTGCATGGAGGAATGGGCCAAAATACCAGCAACAGTGTGTGAAAACCTTGTGAAGACTTACAGAAAACGTTTGACCTGTGTCATTGCCAACAAAGGGTATATAACAAAGTATTGAGAAACTTTTGTTATTGACCAAATACTTATTTTCCACCATAATTTGCAAATAAACTCATTAAAAATCCTACAATGTGATTTTTTTCCCCTCATTTTGTCTGTCATAGTTGACGTTTACCTATGATGAAAATTACAGGCCTCTCTCATCTTTTTAAGTGGGAGAACTTGCACAATTGGTGGCTGACTAAATACTGTTTTTCCCCACTGTACTGTATGGATGGTATTACAGTTCGCTTTGACTTCTAGTGTTTATATCTGCATAATGCACTATCCTGACTATACCTGTCCATCATTGTTGTCCACATAGAGTCAGGAGTTAAAATGAGATGCATAAGAACATTCCACTACAGTACACTTCACAGTACCACTGAGTATGAAGTAACATTAAGACATTTAGCTTATTTTGTATCACTGATGAATGCTGTTGAAAAATCAATATTATGAAGGGTGAATTATATTTGGAACTCCTCTTGGAATAAAGCCATGTCTTGGCTTGGAATAATGCCAACATGGTCTGTGCTAAGCTAAGCACTTGCCACCTGTATGTTGTCCCCTCTATTGACAGAAGTAATAGCTGTGTCTGAACTGAACTGACTACTAACCACTGTGTTGTTCTCTGTGTTGACAAAAGGAATGGCTGTGTCTGAACTGCCAGACACAGAGAGCTCTGTCTGGTCAACTGGGAGGCATGGGGAAGATGGCCCAGCCACAGCTCACTAAGACTGGTGCCCAGCCCACACCACAGCCAACTAAGACTGGTGCCCAGCCCACACCACAGCCTGCAGCCACTTCCACCAAGACTGAGCCCCAGGCTCCAGCAGCAACCACAACCAAGGCCAAGGCTGTTCCTCTCACATCAGAGCCCATTCCACCCACACCAACAACTGCCCTTGCACAAAAGGAGCTGGAGCCAAAGGTGGAAGTCCCAGAGGCTGAAGCTCCCAAGGCAGTCGCCAAGGCTGAGGCTCCAAAGACAGAAGTTCTCAAGTTGAAGATCGCCAAGGCAGAGGCACCAAATATTTTTCCTACAACTGAGCTGCCCAAACCTGTACCACCTAAATCTGAACCACCCAAGACTGAGGCTCCAGCAGTAGCTGCTCATGTTGTCTCTGTCTCAGTAACTGATGCCATGACTGCTCTTGCTCCGCTATCCACCACAGTTTCTACTGCCATTGCTGTCACTCCAGCCACTGTGGAGAAGAAGCCAGAGGCTAAATCTCAACCAGCAGAGCTACCTAAACCAGCAGAGGAGAAGGTTGAGAAGCCACTGAAGCAACAGGAACCACTACCTGTCACAGTGGCTGAGAGGGTAACTCCACAACCAGACCCAACAGCTGATACTATCAAGGAAGTGGCCACTCCATTGGCTGGAAAGGTGGATGATGTCCTTCCTGAACCTCAGCAGATTCTCACTGAGAAGGACACTGTGGAGGCAAGTCTTTGTTCAACAGTTTGAATCAATGTATTGTTGTTTGTATTTGTTGTTAACATTATTCCTATCATCTTTAGTCAAGATTGTGATTCCATACAAATATAGATTGCTACCATAGTTGTTAACTGTTCACACAGATATAATTTGCTCCAGCAGACATAAACAAAAATAGACAGCAAAGTGTGTAAGACATATGTTTTTATTGATCTATGCATAGGACAAGCACATGTCTTCTGATGCTTTTTTTCATTTTCAGGAGGGGAAAGAGTCAACTGCAGCCTCCCACCTAGTGGACCAGGTAGTAGTTGAGGTACAGTCCAGCCCAACCAGTCCATTTGAGGCTGACACCAAGACTGAGGACCATAGTAACAAGTCCCAGGATGGACCAGATATACTTCCCATCTCACAGGGCTCTTACACCTCCGAGGAGGAGCTGAAGGAGGTGCAGACAGTCAGAAAGGAAGAGGTGAATGGGGAGATGAGGCATCTGAATTACGTGCCGATGGAGGAGAGCAGTGGAAGCGAACCCTCTCCCTCGCCCCAGCTCCAGAGACGGAGGTTAAGTGCGGTAGCGGTCAGCACGGCAGCGTCGTCCAGCAGCGAGGACTACAAAGCAGACAGCCCAGCAGTCAGCCCAGACTCATCTGTGGATGAGGAGGAGTTCATCCGCAGGCAGATCATGGGAATGACAGGAGAGGAGGAGATGTCTCTCTCAGAGGAGGAAAAAGAGGAGAAAGAGTGCAGAGAGGAGGAGACCAAGGAGGCCGAGGTGGATAACACATCAGGCAAATCCAAACCTCTGCTAAAGAAAGGCAGTATGGATAATGAAGACAGCCCAGCCAGGAGACCATCTCTTCCAGGATCTGAGGCTAAAACCACTGTAGATAGTACTGAACTCACTGAGCTCACCACTGTGTTTAAGAAAGCCATGACGCGGCAGAGAACAAAGAGCACGGACAATGGGGATGCTGAGGTGGAGAGCATCACAGAGTCTCTGGAGGACAAGTCCAAAGGTGAGGGGTCATCCAGTGTCCAGGTGTCCAGCTTCACCCCTGGAACCTCCCCCACCTCAGCCTCTTCTCTGGAGGAGGACAGCGACAGCAGCCCCAGTCACAAGAGGAGTGGGGAGGGGAAACAGCACCGCAAGGCCAAGCACAGGCAGGCTGGCCAGTCCCTCCCCACCATCAAGGACTCGTCAGAGGAGGAGGAGGAGCTCAGGGAAGAGGAAGATCACCTCAGGGAGCAGGAGAAACAGAAGGAATCGGACCAGCAGCAGGGGAAGAGGAGCTCTAAGAAGTCCAAGAGGGATAAAGATGAACTACGGACTCAGAGGAAATGGGATCACCCTGTAACCTCGCTCAGTAACCTGTCTCCTTTTGAAAATGCCTCGCCCACTGAGGAGGTGAGGCAGGCTAGAGAGATGGAAGTGCTTCAGAAAACCTCAGGCTCTGACTATTCTCCTAGCATGGAGTCTGATTCAGAGGCGTTTCACACAGAGGCCAAGATAGCTGTTCCAAAAGGACAGAAGTTCAGTACTGCAAAGCCACTAAAGAGTGCAGAGGAGGCATATGAGGAGATGCTTCAGAAAGCTAGATCTCTTAAAGGAGAGACAGAGCAAGTCCCTGAGATAGAGCCACTCTACGGAGGCATGGCCATAGAGGACTACCTCTATGAGTCCCTAGTGGAGGAGCCTGAAGCTAAACGTAGTTCAGCCCAACCGGAGCAGCCCAGTAAAGACCATGCTAAAGAACCAGGGAAGAAAGGTTTAAGGTCTCCTGAAGAGGTATATGAGGAGATGATGCAGAAAAAGAAGGAACTGATGTTGATAGAGCAGGAGTTTCAGAGGGCTCAGTCAGCTATGGACACTCCAAATCCAGAGATACATGTGACTGCACCATCCAGTGCTGCAGCTAAGAGCTGCAAAGTTGGTGAGGCAGAGGGAGAGAAGCCTATGTTAGATGCTGATTCTACCTACGTTAAGAAAAAGAAACGTCCTGCTCCACCACGGCCCTCTGAACCTCCTAAACGGCCTGAGGTCAATGTTGCAAAGCCAACAGTTCCTCAGGATATGACTATGAGGAGGGCTCTTTTCCCCATACCGGACTTGAAAATCACCCAGTGTTCCTCTGGAGAGGATGAGACGGACGATAGTATAATAGAGGAGTATGGAGTGGGAGTGTCCTCTGATATTACCCCTAGTGATGAGTCTGAGACTAAAGAACAGGTAGAGTCCACTCCAGTTTCAGAGCATACACCAATAACAGAGGCAGCTGAGATTGAACCGATCACTGTAGTGTTTGAGGTTCCCCAGGCGAAAGTTACTCCAGCTCCTGCCTCTGCCGCTGAAACAGTTCTAGCCACCAGTACAACTACCACACCATCACCAATCTCTCCAGTATCACCGCCCACCTCACCAGCGACTCCAGACTCAAGTCTAGCCTCCAATGCTACGTCCTCCTCCTCTTTCCAAGCTCCAAGTCCTCTCTCCTCCGACTCTACTCCAGTGTCCATTCCAACACCAGAACTGGCCAAAGCAGCAGCTCCCTTCGCAGCCCAGCCCCCTGCTGATATCTCCCCTCCTTCTATTGCACCCATTATGTCTTTTTCTCCAACCACAGTTTTGGTCACAATTCCAGATGTGGTGGCAGATCCAACCCAAGCACCAACACCAGCTACAACTACAGTCCATGCTAGTGCTCCACCAGCCCAACCCCAAGTCCCTGCCTCAGCCCCAGCCCCTGCCTCAGTGGTGGTGCAGATACCTGATCCAGTTGTAGTCCAAATGCCAGACCTGGTTACATCTCCATCCCAGATGTCTGCTCAGGGTCCACCTTCTGTGCAGGTCAGAGCACCAACTCCAGTACCAAGCCCAGTACCTTCTGAACCCCCATCTCCAGTCCCAGCTGCTCCCAGTGCAGTGCCAACTCCAGGTCCAGTCTCTGCTCCAACTCCAGCCCCAGCTCCAGTTGTAGTCCAAATGCCAGACCTGATTACCATCACCTCGCCAGTTTCATCCCAAGCCCCACCACCTGTGTCAGCCTCGGCTACTGCCCAAGCTACAGTGGTGCATTCAGTCCCTGTCCAGACTGCTGCCCCACCTCCAACCCCAGTAGTAGTCCCAGCCGTAGGGACACGCCGAATCCAGAGACAAGCCTCCACCAAAAAAGCCCCACCTCCTCCTCCTCCTCGGTCTACATCAGTCTCCCTGCCCCAGACCTCAGCAGAGCCTACCTCTATCAGGGCCATCCATAATGTCTCCCCAACCATGACCACCACTATAGCCATGGGAGCAGCTCTGCCTGTCCAGCCCATACAGTCTGTGGTGGTGGATGTACAGCCGCGAGTGGAGGACGTCCGGCCAGAAGGGGTTGCTGGCTCTCAGGTCATGATGACCCCAACCAGACAGGGGCATGTGGTCATCATAGTCCCCAATGTGGAGAACATGTTGGTGCTCAGCCAGATGACCCAAGACCTTGTGGCAAACTCAGTGGCAATAACTACCACCTCTGCTGTGGTTGAAGGCAGTAGTCAGATAGCAGCAAGGCCTGTGGTTGTCAGTGTTGCTCCTTTTTATACTGCTCCCTCTGTTCCTGCTGTACCCAGCTCAGACACATATATACCTGTGGCAGATACCCCACCACGTCCTTTGCCCCCTCCACCACCCCCTGCCACTTTACTAAAGCCAGCTGTTTATCCCAAAAAGCCTTCAGTTTCCATCCCATCTTCAGTCCCAACAACAGTGCTGGTCTCAGCTGCTTTGACAATGGCACAGGCAACTGTAACAACCGCAGGCTCCAGTCCAGTACACAAGGCCTCTGCACCCCCTCCAGTCCCCCCCAAGCCTGTGTCCATCCCTGCAGGGCTGGTGTTCAGCCACCGACCAGGGGAGAGCGTCAAACCTCCAGTGGTTCCCACCGCCAGCCACACACTTCCCAGGACCAGAGAAGTGGTTCCGAAAGCCAGCTTAGCACAGCCATTCACATCCACAACACTGCCCAGGACCAGAGAACCTCCCAATGCCCTGTCTCTGAGTCTGACCACCCCAGTGGAGTCCAAGATGAGTGCTACCTCACCCAGGTCCCCTCTTTCTCCAAGGAATGCCAAGTGTCTGGAGACATATGTTGTGATAACTCTGCCCTCAGAGCCTGGCACACCTACAGATGGTATCACTGTCCAAGCCCCCATCAGAAGAGGGTCCATCCACTCCTCTAAGCAGACAGGCCCAGGGGTTAGGACCACACCGTCAGAACAGCAGTCACCCATTGAGCCCTTCTCAGCCCAGGCCACTGTCAGGAGAGCATCAGTTCCCTCATTGAGGCAGCCGCCACCACCAACAGCAGCAATAGTACCAGTCGAAGTAGCAGCACCCCTAGAGGGAGTCACTGTTCAATCAACAGCAAGGGGGCCTTCCATACCATCAGCTATGCAGCCTCCATACGGTATATCTGAGATGGTGACAGTTTCAGCAGGGTCGGAGATGCCTATTCAGGTACACAATGTCCCAGCTCCAATCAAGAAACCGTATATACCTCCAACAGCCAAGCCACCGCAGACAGTGTCTGAGGTTATCACAATGCCATTAGAGCCACATGTTCCTGTAGAAGTGTCTGCAACTCAAGCCTCTGGTAGAAGGGCATCAATACCCGCTGTACCTCAATATGTGGCTGAAGTAATGGCTTTACCAGCAGAGCAGGACATACCTACAGAGGTGGTTTCAACTGAGGCCACGTGTGGAAGAGCAACAATACCATCAGAAATGCAGCAACCACAAACCATGGCAGAGGTATCAGCAATGCCCTTAGAAGCTATACCCTTGACCATGCATCAGTCACCATCACTAATAGAGGTCGTTTTCAGAGCATCAGTACCATTAGAAATGCAGCAACCACAAACCATGGCAGAGGTAATGCCGTTACAGCAGGAAATACCTACTGAAGCTATGGCCACCCGAGTCCATGTAGAAGCTACACCCTCAACCATGCATCAGTCACCATCTCTGATAGAGGTGGTTTCAACTGAGGATATCTATAGAAGAGCATCAATACCATTAGAAATGCAGCAACCACAAACCATGGCAGAGGTAATGCCATTACAGCAGGAGATACCGTCAATACGATCAGCTGCACCACAATCACAAGCAGTGGCCGAAGTGATGACTTTGCCTTCAGAGTATGAAATCCCTACGGAGGTTATAACAACTGAGGCCACTACCACTAGAAGGACATCCATATCCTCTGTAGCACAACAACCATACACATTTGCTGAAGTAATCACTTACCCATCAGAATATGAAACACCCATCCAGGTGGTTACAACTGAGGCTATTTCCACTACAAGAAGAGCGTCTATAACCATGCAGCAGCTTCTAACTATGGCCCAGGTTATCACAATGCCTGCAGAGACAGAGGTACCTCTAGAGGCATATGCTGCCCAAGTCCCATACAGGAGAGGATCCATCCCCTCAGCAGTGCAACCACCACAGGAAATATCAGAGTTCCTGAGTTACTCATCAGAGTATGATACCCCCCTGGAGGTCATTACAACTGAAGCCTACACCAGGAGAATGTCAGTTCCCTCTTGCCAGGAGATTCCCCAGACTGTCTCCATGGCTCCAGTCACCATCACCAGGAAGTTCCACCAGGAGTCGATAGAGAGCCAGGAAATCTGTGGGCCTGAGAAGGTGGTGTCCAGCCTGAGCCACGTGTACTCCTCCTCTATCTCCACCTCAGCCCAGCCCCCGGAGAGCCTTCCCAGCCTGGTCACTCAGGTGGTCACCACCGAGGTTCAGAGAACCACTGTGTCTGTGGTCCATGAGAGGCTGCCTCAGGTTCCTGCGTCAGACGCAGTGGCCATCCCTATCCAGCCAGAACTGGCTAAAGTCCAGCCCTCTCCCAAACAGAACGGGAAGATCTATTCCGGTGATGCCATTGACCTCCGCACCATTAAGGCTGGTGTAAAGATGACCGATTCAGGGATGGACTTGACGCCTCAGGAATCGAGTCGCCAGTCCGTCTGTAGCAACTCTAGTGGCCGACATACGGCAGTGCAGCCAGAGATAGTGAACCTGAGTGCTGAGATCACCCCTTCCACCACGCTGTCTGTTGTCACTGATAGCATCACTATCGTCACCTGTTCAGCCACCATTGCCTCCTACACCGAGCCAGCAGAAAAGCCTCTAGATCTGCAGGGTTATGTTGCTTCTATGCCTCTCCCTCTCACCACATACAAACCATTCGAGCCTCTGGCACAGATAGTATACAGGCGGGTAGATTCTCCGCCTATCGTCAGTAGGGTGACAGACAAAGAGACACCAATCAACCTGTCCTATGGAGCCTCCACAGTAGATAGCAGGCTTCCAGTGACCATAGCCCCAGTTATCAGCAATGGGGGGACCATGCTCTCAGAGCTGACAGGGGCCGTGGACCTGTCCACCTCAAGACCCCTTAGGGCCATGGTGGCTCTGTCCGGCACCAGCCCTGTTGTGGTGACCACTGTCGTGGACGATGATGGGATGCCCATATATCTGACAGCTGGGAGAAATGTGTGCTGTGACGTCATCTACAAGCTACCCTTCACAGGGAGCTGTAGGACCCAGCCACCGGTTATTAGCCAGCCTGACAACCACTTCGGCTACAGAGACGACAACTACCAGTATGATCATGCTGGGGTCTATGGCATCAAGGTCTTGAACGGCAAGGCCATGTCTGAGACCAACCTGGCTGATGCAGGACACTTCCTCTATAATGGAAAGACTGGATATGACTATAACGTAGCCTCGGACAGTGCAATAGACCTGACAGCTGCTAAAATATCCACAGGTTGGTATGATAGAAATACAGCACCTTTGCTAGGTTTTGTGTTCTTTTCAACTTTTTACCTGCTTGAATTTGATTTCTGAATGGAAACCTATTTCTCTGAACATTGTTTTACCTCATTGTTTGTTTTCCATTATGATTTTAATGAGCATTTACTGTACTTTTGCATGATTTATGAAATTATCTTGATTTCCATCAATGTTCTGTTCCTTTTGTCTTTTCTTTCTTTTTACACAGATGCATGCGAATGCCTGCGTGTTCTTCCACAATATTTTGGCTTTGCATCGTGCTAGCTGGACAGACTGGAGATACTTGCATGCTTAGTGCTATGATCTCCCAAAATCAAATCTGCATGGCCTTTATTTTGTACAGAACATTTATATACTGTATGATGTTTTAATCATTGACTTAAACCTACATTTCTGGACCCATCATGACAGGTGAAGCTCTAGACTACACTAGTAAAGCTGCTGGGGCGTATACTGGGATATCCACTGCTCCATATTCTCAGGTCCCTGCTTATAGTGTCCTTAGATCCTCAGACGGAATGGTATACTCCTCCATAGCAGCCCCTGTTCCTTCTACATATGCCATTACCACTCAGCCAGGGTCCATCTTTAGCACCACAATACCCCCTACCACCACCCTCCAGGAGCAGCCAGCCCCAGTTCCATACCCCTACGGCTTCATCCCCACCACCGACCCTGGCCACCAGATCATCAGCCTGGACACTGGCCTGCCCAAGGACCTGCTGCCCAACACTCTGACTGACATCATGACTGGCTTCCCTGCCCTGTACTCTGACCAGACCCTGGAGGCAATCGCAGCCTCTCTGGAGGCCCTGGCCTCGTCGCCCATGTTCCCCGACCTGGGCGACAGCAAGATCACCCAGTATCAGATGGAGAGGGAGTTCTTGCAGCTGGAGAAGCTGAAGCAACTGTGTCTGGCAGAGGAGCTGGAGTGGGAGAGGCAGGAGATCCAACGCTACCGCGAGCAGGAGCAGATCATGGTGCAGAGGGAGCTGGAGGAGCTACAGGTATGAATGTGTGTGTATATGTCTCCTGTGCTAATGTATGGTGTCGTGGTCACTGTTCAAGCTCACTGTCTTTAATGTGTTTGTAATCTGTTACTGTAAGCACATGGACAATTGGCTGGACAACTATGTTATTCTAATCTAATCTATTCTATTCTACAGGCTCTGAAACAGAAGCTGTTAATGCAACAGGAAGAGGAGCACCAGGCGCACCTTGTAGCACAGCAGGAGACCTACAACCAGCAGAGGGAACAGCTAGAGCAGATCCAACAGCTCCAGGTGCAGCTACAGCACCAGCTAGAGGAGCACTACGGTACCATAGGATCTTCAGACAACCTGCTAGAGGCACAGTATGCAGGGGTGGGGGATAACGGTCAATACTGGCCTGTTAGGGATGAGTCCACCACCTCATCCACTGTCACCCAGCTAATGGGTGGGGTGCAGTATGTGACCAGTGAGGGTCAGAGAGAGGGTGGAGGTCAGGACCAGCTGCAGCTCAGTAGGAAACAGCCAGCAGGGTCTAAGCAGCCTGGTGACCAGGGGTATGGTACAGGGGTGGTAGGGAAGAGGATAGTGGACAGTGGGGTCCAGACAGACGATGAGGACTCAGTAGACAGGACATATGTGGGGAGGAGGAAGAGGAACAACAGGAGGGGTGTAGACAGCAGTGTTCAGACTGATGATGAGGAGGACCAGGAGGATGAGTGGGACATGCCAACCAGGTCACGGCGGCGCTCCCGCTCCAGCAAGCACAGCGGCGAGGGAAAACACGGTGGCGCTAAGGTCTCCAGCATCGCCATCCAGACTGTGGCAGAGATCTCTGTCCAGACCGACCACTCTGGGAGCATCAAATGCCCCGGCATCCAGATCGACACTAAGGTGGAGATCATCAAACACATCTCAGCCCCAGAGAACTCTCAGAGAGGAGGCAGCCTCAGCTGCCAGACAGACACGGACCCCAGGCGCCACTCGCCCGTAGAGGTGGGCTACAGCGCCTACCTGAAGGCAGACCTTGCCCCCAAGTCCCCCAAGGTGCTTTACTCTCCCGTGTCCCCCCTGTCCCCGAGTAAGGCCATGGAGGGAGGGCAGAAGAGGCTGACCACTGACCCATCCAGGTTTTCCTCCGGCCCTAGGATGCTGAAGCCTGGAAAGAAGTCTCTGCCTGACACCAAGTCTCTCAGCCCCACCACCGAGGACAGGATAGGCTACCACTACTCAAACAGCTACTCTGTAAGTCACTGTAGTAAGAATACTGGTAACATAAGATAGTGTTAAATATGACCACATTAAAGTGGGCATAGTTAAACACATGAATTGCATGCTGTTTACATTTTTGTCGAAAATACACCTGGCAATAATCTGATCTCTTATCTTATTGCTTTTTCTTCTGTCCTAGGGCCAGGGCTCTCCATCAGGCACTGGAAAGAAGGTGAAGAGGACCCTTCCCAACCCTCCCCCGGAGGATGACCCTCTGACTGGCCCGTCAGGCTACAGCACCAACTCAGCGCGCCGACGGCTCGGCCGTCACACCACCATGGCCCGGGCCAAGATCCTGCAGGACATCGACAAGGAGCTGGATCTGGTGGAGAGAGAGTCATCCAAGCTCCGCAGGAAACAGGCCGAGCTAGACGAGGAGGAGAAGGAGATTGATGCCAAGCTGAGGTAATTTATTAACTTAACCATTTGTGAACCAGGCAAGTCAATATAGAACCAGTTCTGATTTACAATACAATAACATGCTTTAGATGAGTACAACACTTTGGTGTGTATGAAGTGATTCCACATTTTTAGCACTTGGAAATCACCATATAAATCCAATCCCATCTTCTCCTTCTAACAGGTACCTGGAGATGGGCATCAACCGTCGTAAGGATGCCCTGCTGCAGGAGAGGGAGAAGAGGGAGAGGGCCTACCTGCAGGGTGTGGCTGAGGAGAGAGACTACATGTCGGACAGTGAGGTCAGCAACATCAGGGAGACCAGAGGGAGCAGCCACGGCCTGGAGAGACCCAGGACAGCTCCCCAGTCAGAGTTCGACCAGTTCATTCCCCCTCAAACTGAGGCTGACTCCCAGTACTCCACTCTGACCAGTCCCTACTCCCACTACGCCCAGTATATCCCCCAGACCCAGGCCACCAGCCACTACCCCCAGCAGACCCTGTACCAGCAGCACCCCTACCAGAGTCAGTCAGTCTACTCCTCTGTGCCCAGCCTGTCCTACCCCCAGGCCTCCCACTCCCACCAGCAGACCCAGTCCTCAGGCTACCAGTCCAAGAACACCACCAACTACGAGGTGATCCGGAACCAGCCTATGATCATCGTACCCTCCTCCAGCGAGGGGGGGTATGGCGTGGGGAAGTACGGCAGCCTGGAACTGAGGATGGGCCTGGAGGAGAGGAGCATGGCCTCCAGCCCCATGTCTAGTATATCTGCTGAGTCTTTCTACGCTGACATCGACCACCACAATGCCAGGAACTATGTTCTGATAGAGGACATAGAGCAGCTGACTAAAGGCTCTACAGTGCTGGGCTCTGCAGGGCTGGGCTCAGGGTTCAGTCTGCCTGTTAAGGACCTGTCTAAGGCTGACAGGCTGCTCCGGGCTGCTGAGGCCAGGCGCACTGCAGAGGTAACTGATATTTAAACAGTAGATGTTCTTCTGTGGCATGTGGGTTTTGTTACATATTGTATGTCACTGTATTTTGCTCAGTTTTTTTTTAAATCTGTATTTTGCTATACCGCATTTGCCTGTTCACTTGGGTGTTGTGCTGACGATGATGATAAATTATTGTATTGTCTTTGTTTAGGTTGCAGAGTTCCTTGGTAACTCGCGTTTGCATAGCTACGGTAAAGGAGAGGAGGACTCTATGGAGGAGCCCTATGAGCTGAAGCTCCTGAAGCAACAGATAAAGCAGGAGTTTAGACGAGGGACAGAGGGTCTGGAGCACCTCTCAGGCCTGGGCATGCCCCAGTACCTTCCCACTGACCCCAGCTACAGACACTTCCCTAAGGCTGACAAGTACAGCATCAGCCGGCTGACTCTGGAGAAACAAGCTGCTAAGCAGCTCCCTGCCGCTGTGCTCTACCAGAAACAGATAAAGAACCAGAAAAAGGCAGCCCTGTTGGACCCCAAGATAACCAAGTTCTCCTCCATCCAGGAGAGCAGAGTCCTGGAGCCGGACTACAGCAGCTTCCTGGGCTCTGGAGCCTCTTCTGTCACCAACCTGTCCACGCGAGCCAGACTGCTCCAGGATGAGATCACCTTTGGCCTGAGGAAGAACCTGTCTGAGCAGCAGAAGTTTCTGGACTCCTCCCTGGGATCTAACCTGGCTGGCTCTGTGGGCCAGAACCTGGGCCAGTCCCTTGACCTGGAGGGACCCACCATGAGGTCTACCCTACAGGACGACACCACCTACCCCAGCGGCACGCGCTCTCGCCCCTCCTCCCGACCCAACTCCCGCCCCACTTCCGTCTATGGCCTGGATCTGTCCATCAAACGGGACCTGTCCAGCTCCTCTCTCAGGCTGAAGAGCGAGGGAGAGGCATTGGACGCAGCGTTCGGCTCGGGGGTGGCCAGGACCAAGCCCACCAGCCTGCCTATCAGCCAGAGCCGCGGGCGCATCCCCATCGTGGCTCAGAACTCAGAGGAGGAGAGCCCTCTGAGCCCTGTGGGAGAGCCCATGGGCATGGCCAGAGCCTCAGCCGGCCCTCTACCCCCCATCTCAGCTGACTCCAGAGACCAGTTTGGCTCAAGCCACTCCCTGCCGGAGGTCCAGCAGCACATGAGGGAGGAGTCCAGGGCTACACGGGGAAATAGTGGGGTCTACGACAGAGACATAGCCTTCATCATGGACGACCTGGGGGGAGCCATGTCTGACAGCGAAGGTAAATGGCTCCTGAGGCTGTCATGCAGCTACCGCATGCTCCTGACTGTGTTTATGTCTGCCTGAGAAGGCTCCTTATCACTTGTTATTTCACATATTTTCTGGCTTTTGTCACATAACTGTGTTTGTGTTTTGTTCTGGTTGCTGTTTCTGTTTTGTTTGATGTCTGCATGCAACACTATTTATTTTCTTTACTGATACATAATACTGTTGATGTTATGTATGAGACAGCATGTCTGTGTTGTTAACTATCTGTGATGTTATTAGCATGCTCCAGTTCTCTTCTCTTCTTTTACATGTTGGTTTCCTGCTTTCATCACTGACCAAATGTGTATTATGAGATACAGGGCTTCTTTAAACCATACAGAACAGAGATGTACCAATAGTGGATAATATGTGATCATAAATAACACACACTTTAAGTGCCTCTGAGTACTGCTTTTGAAGAGAAAGAAAAGAGGGCGATTATATATTTGAATGAGTGGGAGACTAATGAATATGCAACAGTATCCGGTAAGCTGTCGCTAACATCTGGGTGCTGTCTATAGCCTATAGGCACCTTCATCTACACCACTCCTTCCCTCTCCTCCTTTTTCTTCTCCTTTTCCCTCTACTTCTCCAGACAGAAAATGTTATCTGGATCTTGCAGGAAGTATGTCAGGCCTTTAGATAGACATACAGTATATTTACTTTTCCAAGCACCCTTGGAGCTATTGTGGAGCTTGGCCCACTGGCAGCAGCCATTTTAAAGGCCTAATGCTGAATCACTATGTGTGGGTCTGGGTCTACTTACTGTAATTGTTCAAACGATGCAGTCAGCCATTTATATAGAATACCTGCCTCCCTCACTTTGTCTCCTGGCCAGCAATACACACATGTACTATTAAAGCAGTAGTAATACAGAGAGCACTATACTCAAATGTATATAGCAATGCAATTACATTTTTTCCCTAAGGATTATGTAGTTGTAGATTATTTGTTTGTGTATTTGAGTTTTAGATTTGAACCCATGTTGATAGTAGACATACAGGATATTTTATGATACTCACACCACACATAGTTATTTATAGCATATTCATCCCTGTCCATCTTGGGTATTTTCCATTTTGTATTCATGCATGTTGCTGTGAGATAAAATGTGTTTGAGTTTCCATTTCAATAAAGCTTTAAATCATATTTTGCATGACGTTGGTTGCTATGAATGTTGGTTGCTGTGAATGTTTCTAAGGGACTGTAAATGTGCATGCTCTCTTCTGATTGGCAGCATATTAATGTGTTCTCTCCCCATCTCCTCCTGGGGAGTAAGTGTGAAATTACAGCTGTCCTTCCTTCTATCTTAAAGGGATACTTTGGGATTTTGGCAATGAAGCCCTTTAACACCTTCCATAGAGTCTGATTAACTCATGGATAAATATGTTATGTCTCAGAATCCAGTATGAAGGAAGTTAGATGTAGTTTCACGAGCCAATGCTAACTAGCATTAGCACAATGACTGGAAGCATGCTAGCAGTTATCATAGACTTCCAGTCATTGTGCTAACGCTTGTTAGCAACTTCCTTGAATATGCTTGAAAAGACATAAACATGGTATCCACGAGTTCATCTGACTCTGGGAAGTAGATAAAGGGCCTCGTTGCCAAAATTCTGAAGTATCCATTTAAGTGTTTACTAAGCAGGACCACCCTCCTAAATATGCCCCTCTGCTTCTGTTCCTATGCTTCTATCGGCCTGGCATAGGGTAGTCAGTTTCAGGATGACCACCATTTAACTTTACATATGTATTTTATTTTATTTTTTACAAGCAGAAACACACAGACCTATAAACATTCATATGCAAGTGGATTCATTTTAGATAGCATTTTTTCTTAGAAATTCATAGAGTAGTGTTTGAAATGTACTATACAACTGAACCCAATGACAGACTGGTGAGTAGTTGATCAGCAGTAGACACAAATATGACTCCACATAAATAAGAGTGTCTATCTGCCTTGGTTCCAGCCCTAACTGACTCCATGCTGACACTGAACAGAGATGATCCCAGAATCTTTCATGAGAGTATCAGACACGGTAGAGTATTCTAGTTTAGTTCCTCACCACTGGCCCTGTTGCCTGCCCTCCACTAATACAGCAGCACCATGTTAAATGGACACTCCGCAATATGATACCCAGCCGTGCCTCAAGGAAAGGCGCCAATTGGCAAGAGCAAAGAAGTCCCCCCACTGTGATGTCATATAGCTGAGTCTACCTTTAATATTTAGACTGCTTTAGTCCCCATGTGACTTTACAGTATCTAACTCAATGCTATGCATTTGATGATATATTAGTAAATACCCATGTATTTGTTGTAGATCATTTTACAATTATTCTACAATTGATATTATGACATACATCTTTCATGCGCTTCGCTTTAGAAATGCAAACTCCCCGAAAGACTATAATGTTATAAGATGTATTTATTTGCTTACAAAGCATGTGCTGACATAGATTTAGTTCAGTGCATGTGATATACAGTATAAGTGGATGGAGACGTAGCCCACTGAATAAGTCTTAGATTCATTGACGTTGTGTTGTAGCCATTTCTAAAACGTATAACTTTACACCCCAGCCGGAGGCCCCAACTGGAACATAGAAGGTGAGAGCTGCAGTGTGAACGGTCTAATCCAGACCACATCCCAACCCCATGTAGCTTAGACAATGTCTGCCTCCACCCAACAACACCCCATGCCCCATGGTGCTCAATGACCAGATGTAGATGGTATCGTGCACACAAACATATCAGACCCATTTCTGGAATGACCCATATTTGGATGGTACTTTACACATATCAAACTCATCATGGAATGACCCATATCTCAATGGCAATGTACTGTAAACATATCATATACTGTAGTGGTTAACCAATCCATATCTGGAATGACCCACATTTAAATGGTTCTGTACATACACTACACAACCAAAAGTATGTGGACACCTGCTTGTCGAACATCTCATTCCAAAATCATGGGCATTAATATGGAGTTGGTCCCCCCTTTGCTGCTATAACAGCCTCCACTCTTCTGGGAAGGCATTCCACTAGATGTTGGAACATTGCTGCGGGGAGTTGCTTCCAGTCAGCCACACAAGCATTAGTGAGGTCAGGCATCGATGTTGGGCGATTAGGCCTGGCTCGCAGTCGGCATTCCAATTCATCCCGAAGGTGTTCGATGGGGTTGAAGTCAGGGCTCTGTGCAGGCCAGTCAAGTTCTTCCCCACCGATCTCGACAAACCATTTATGTATGGACCTCGCTTTGTGCATGGGTGCATTGTCATGCTAAAACAGTAAAGGGCCTTCCCCAAACTGTTGCCACAAAGTTGGAAGCACAGAATCATCTAGAATATCATTGTATGCTGTTGCGTTAAGATTTCCCTTCACTGGAACTAAGGGGCCTAGCCCAAACTATGAAAAACAACCCCAGACCATTATTCCTCCTCCACCAAACTTTACAGTTGGCACTATGCATTGGGGCAGGTAGTGTTTTCCTGGCATCTGCCAAACCCAGATTTGTCCCTCGGAATGCCAGTTGGTGAAGCGTGATTCATCACTCCAGAGAACGCGTTTCCACTGCTCCAGAGTCCAATGGCAGTGAGCTTTACACCACTCGAGGTGACGCTTGGCATTGCGCATGGTGATCTTAGGCTTGTGTGCGGCTGCTCGGCCATGGAAACCAATTTCATGAAGCTCCCGGCGAACAGTTCTTGTGCTGACTTTGCTTCCAGAGGCAGTTTGGAACTCGGTAGTCAGTGTTGCAACTGTGGACAGCACTCATTCTGTGAGCTTGAGTGGCCTACGACTTCACGGCTGAGCCGTTTCTAGACGTTTCCACTTCACAATATCAGCACTTACAGTTGACTGGGGCAGCTCTAGCAGGGCAGAAATTTGACAAACTGACTTGTTGGCATCCTATGACGGTGCCACATTGAAAGTCACTGAGCTCTTCAGTACGGCCATTCTGCTGCCAATTTTTGTCTATGGAGATTGTGGCTGAAATAGACAAATACACTAATTTGAAGGGGTGTCCACATACTTTTGTATATATAATGTATATCAAACCCATTTCTGGAATTCATGTTCATGCACTATTGCAAGGTCGCTCAGATACAGCTCACATTTGCATTACATACATGTGTTACCACAACAGTGGTATGTCTGAATACTACGTAAGTATGTGTCGAGGGTCTCTCACAGAATGATAGATGCAACACTGATCATGCTGTAAGATCACCCTGATAACACCCTGTACTACCTCACTGTCTCAGGGCAAAGGGAATTGTACTGTGACTGGGAAAGACACTCTCCTCCACTTCCACCTAAAGTATGTCTGCTGTGGCCCTGACCCACTGTGGAGATGTTTCACTCTCTCTATGCATGACCTGTTAATCTACACACACATACACACAAACACACACACGCATGCACACACACACACACACGGACACACACATACACACACACACACACAAACACACACACACACACACACACACACACACACACACACACAGGGGACCTCTGCATGCCATACCTAGTTCAAATACATCCATCCCCATCTAGTCTCTAAAATGGTCACTGATCTGATAGTACTGGGGAAGGGACAGTAGCTGGCATTCTACCACGCTTCCTTCACCTCTCCAGGCAGCTTTGATCACTGATCACTTAAGAGCAGTAGACATGGAGCGAAGGATGTGTTTATAAAGTATTGTAAGGGGGTGCTACTTATGCCCAATTTCACATTGCCACCTAGCTCCCACCCCAAGGCACTTGTGTAGATCTGATCATCCACATCACGTAAACTCCGCCAAGCCTATCAGAGAGTGATTTGGAGTTATTACAATATTGCAAATACCTTTAGATCTACATTAAGTGCATATATGGTCCGTGGCTAGAGGCTAGTGGTTGATTTGGAGTTGGGCATCCATCCTGCTTATAAAGGGTTTGACAATTGAGTATCCCTTCTCTGTCTGTGTCCCTGTCCCCTCCACCCCTGTGTCCCCCTGCCCCGGTCTCTGTCCCTGTGCAGCGTACCACCTGAGGAGGGAGGACACTGACTGGTTTGATAAGCCTGCAGAGAGACAACATCGGGAAAACGGACAGCCTCTGGACAGGAGACAGGTGAGAGGAGCTGGATAGGATAAGTCTAAATTAGTCAACTGTATTTAATAAATAAACTGCTATATCCATCTTCCCCTCATGAAATATACATTGATAGTGCCTGTTTTGTTCATGTTGTCTTTAGCTCAGTTGTACTCCATGTACTGTACCATGACAGTTGTCTGTGTGCCTCCCCCAGATTAAGCTGATTCCCTATGTGTTCCCTCACACCCGGCTAAAACTGCAGAGAGACCCCAAGGACACCAGTGTCTCAGGTAGAGTAGAATACAGCAAATATTCTCTATTATGTAGATATCTGCTCATTAATGATAGTAATAGGATCATCTCATGGATTTCCAATATGGCCATTGATATATTATTATACTGTATATTGTCCATTGATATATATATATATGTGTTCCCTGCAGGGAATGGCCTGGGGATCCGTGTGGTGGGAGGAAAGGAGATTCCTGGGAGTCGTGGCGAGATAGGAGCCTACATGGCCAAGGTTACCCCCGGAGGAGTGGCCGAACAGACAGGGAAAGTGGTGGAAGGTAAGTGTGTGTGCACATGTGCTTGTGTAAGGTATAAGTGGAGCAAGAGAAGGAGGAGAGAACAACAGATTAGTCATCTCTGTTCATACAGGGACACAGTCTGATTTAAGATTGAGAAAATACTGTGGGCTATAGCCAATGGCAACGTCATTATAGTGGGATGTTAATCCGTGCGGAAAGAAAATGAAAGTGACATTTGAAAGAAACAATGATTAACATTCTTATATAGCAATATCATAACTCATAAGCGCATGTTGTATGCATTTCAATTTGTCTGAGTTAAGCTGGATGAGGTATGTTGATTATTTCACACGTGTTCTGGACGAGATAGACTTCTCAATATCATATTTCATCTCAGAGCAGATTAGCTACTGATTTAAGCAGAAATCTATTAGTATAATAATAATATCAGGCCACTGTCAGCTCAATGTGAATGTCTTTGCCAAGCTCTGTGCGCCAGAGAGAGATAAGAGGGTGTTTGTGTGTGTATGTGTGTTTGTGTTTGAGTGCCTGAACGTGTGTGTCTGTCATGTCTCATTCTCTGAGAGCCAGAAAAAAAGCTCTGTCAACTCACTCTGCCCCTTCGCAATGCAGCAACGTATTAGCCATTATTCTGTATTTAGCACACACACAGTCACACACACTCTCTCCCTTTGTCTCATCCCTCTCTCTCTCTCTCTCTCTCTCTCTCTCTCTCTCTCTCTCTCTCTTGCTCTCTCTCGCTCTCTCTCTCAATCTCTCTCTCTCTCTGCCTCCCTCTCTCCCTGTCTCCCTCTCTCTCTCTCTCTCTATCCCCCTCTCTCGCGCTCTCTCTCTCTCTCTCAATCTCTCTCTCACTCTCACTCGCTCTTTCTCTATCTCTCTCTCTCCCTCACTATCTCTCTCTCTCTCCCTCTCTCACTCTCTCTCCAACAAACACACATGTTCACACAAACACTCACATGCTTCATAAACAACAAGTGTAGACTAACAGTGAAATGCTTACTTAAGGGCCTCTCCCAACAATGCAGAGAGAAAGAAAATAAATAAATAATAGAAAAGTAAAACACGTAATAATTAAAGTAATAATAAATACACAATGAGTAACGATAACTTGGCTATATACACGGGGTACCAGTACCGAGTCGATGTGCAGGGGTACGAGGTAATTGAGGTAGATGCACTATGTACATATAACTAGGAATAAAGTGAAAGATAATAAACAGTAGCAGCAGCGTATGTGATGAGTCAAAAAAGGGTTGATGCAGATAGTCCAGGTAGCTATTTGGTTAACTATTTAACTAACTATTTAGCATTCTTATGACTTGGGGGTAGAAGCTGTTCAGAGTCCTGTACACACACACATGCACACACACACTGACACACACACACACGGTATTTAGCCCCCCTCGCCCTCTTTCTGCTTCCGTCCGTCATATTACTGTACAACCCTCCTTTCTGAAGCACAGAGACTAGTACACGCTACAGGCAGAATATAACAAAGTAGAAGAGACTTCAGAACACACCACCGTAATTACCAGACATCCTGAACGATGTGTAGGACGGTAGCATTCTCCCACTGATAGATTTCAGGGATTTACTCTCACATGTAGGACGTGTCTCTGCATCCAGCCCTCCTGGGTTAAACCAGAGGGAAAGCCTGGTTCATTATGGTTTTATAGCGTAATCCACTGCAGTTAGGGATATTTCTGAGGATGAGATAGGGTTAATCTACTCCCTCTTGCTGTCACTCTCAGTTCAGATGCGGTGACGTCACACCCTGGCAGTAACACTAGCAACATGGGACAGCCTTGACTTTTCTGAGAGAGGAGTTTGAAGGACAAACACACAAACGCGTGCGTGCACACACACAAACACACACACATTTTCTCTCTCTGCATATGCCATCTCCCTACAATCCCCTACAGTTTATAATTGTATTTAGCTTTATACAGATTGTGGAGATAATTATGTAGATAGAGTAAATATCTCAGTGTATTCTAATTGTGGCAGAACATTTACTTGTTTGTTTTTGTCTAACATATATATATATATATATATATATATATATATATATATATATATATATATATACAGTACCAGTCAAAAGTTTGGACACACCTACTCATTCCAGGGTTTTTCTTTATTTGTACTATTTTCTACATTGTAGAATAATAGTGAAGACATCAAAACTATGAAATAACACATATGGAATCATGTAGTAACCAAAAGGTGTGCCTTGTTAAAAGGAATGTATTTCCTTCTTAATGTGTTTGAGCCAAGCAGTTGTGTTGTGACAAGGTAGGGGTGGTATACAGAAGATAGCCCTATTTGGTAAAAAACCAAGTCCATATTATGGCAAGAACAGCTCAAATAAACTAAGAAAAATGACAGTCCATCATTGCTTCAAGACATGAAGGTCAGTCAATCCGGAACATTTCAAGAACTTTGAAAGTTTCTTCAAGTGCAGTCGCAAAAACCATCAAGCGCTATGATGAAACTGGCTCTCATGAGGACAGCCACAGGAAAGGAAGAACCAGAGTTACCTCTGCTACAGAGGATAAGTTCATTAGAGTTATCTGCACCTCAGATTGCAGCCCAAATAAATGCTTCACAGAGTTCAAGTAACAGACACATCTCAACATCAACTGTTCAGAGGAGACTGCGTGAATCAGGCCTTCATGGTCGAATTGCTACAAAGAAACCACTGCTAAAGGACACCACTAAGAAGAAGAGACTTGCTTGGGCCAAGAAACACGAGCAATGGACATTAGAACGGTGGAAATCTGTCCTTTGGTCTGATGAGTTCAAATTGGAGATTTTTGGTTCCAATCGCTGTGTCTTTGTGAGACGCAGAGTAGGTGAACGGATGATCTCCGCATGTGTGGTTCCTACCGTGAAGCATGGAGGAGGAGGTGTGGGGGTGCTTTGCTGGTGACACTGTCAGTGATTTATTTAGAATTCAAGGCACACTTAACCAGCATGGCTACCAGAGCATTCTGCAGCGATACGCTATCCCATCTGGTTTGCGCTTAGTGGGACTATCATTTGTTTTTCAACAGGACAATGACCCAAAACACACCTCCAGGCTGTGTGAGGGCTATTTGACCAAGAAGGAGAGTGTTGGAGTGATGCATCAGATGACCTGGCCTCCACAATCACCTGACCTCATCCCAATTGAGATGGTTTGGGATGAGTTGGACCGCAGAGTGAAGGAAAAGCAGCCAACAAGTGCTCAGCATATGTGGGAACTCCTTCAAAACAGTTGGAAAAGCATTCCTCATGAAGCTATTTGAGAGAATGCCAAGAGTGTGCAAAGCTGTCATCAAGGCAAAGGGTGGCTACCCAGAAGAATATGAAATGTAAAATATATTGTGATTTGTTTAGCACATTTTTGGTTACTACATGATTCCATATGTGTTATTTCATAGTTTTGATGTCTTCACTATTATTCTACAATGTAGAAAATAGTAAAAATAAAGAAAAAGCCTGCAATGAGTAGGTGTGTCCAAACTTTTGACTGGTACTGTGTGTATATATATATATATATATATATATATATATATATATATATATATATATATATATATACACACACACTACCATTCAAAAGTTTGGGGTCACTTAGAAATGTCCTTGTTTTCGAAAGAAAAACATTTTTTTTGTCCATTAAAATAACATCAAATTGATCAGAAATACAGAGTAGACATTTGTAATGTAAATGGCTATTGTAGCTGGAAACGGCTGATTTTTTATGGAATATCTACATAGGCGTACGGAGGCCCATTATCAGCAACCATCAGTCCTGTGTTCCAATGGCACGTTGTGTTTGCTAATCCAAGTTTATCATTTTAAAAGGCTAATTAATCATTAGAAAACCCTTTTGCAAGTATGTTAGCACAGTTGTTGTGCTGATTAAAGAAGCAATAAAACTGGCTGTCACGATCGTCTGAGGAAACGGACCAATACGCAGCGCGTGGAGTGAACATGATGACTTTATTTAATAAAGCAACCACGAAAAACAACAAATGACGATAGTGAAGTCCTCTGTAACACTGACAGAAACATGGAACAAAAACCCACAAAACCAAGGTGAAACCACACAGTTTAAATATGGCTCCCAATCAGAGATAACGAGCCGACAGCTGTCACTCGTTACCTCCGATTGGGAGTCACATGAATACAAACAAGGAAGACAACCACCTAGACACCCCAACCAAACAGCACACAACAAAACGAACACACCCTATACCCAACCTAACCCACACAACACCCAACAATACAAACACACCCTGGTTCATAAACAACGTCCCGGAACCAGAGCGTGACAGTACCCCCCCCTAAAGGTGCGAACCCCGGGCGCACCAACATAAAGTCTAGGGGAGGGTCTGGGTGGGCGTCTGTCCACGGTGGCGGCTCTGGCCCCGGTCGTGATCCCCACCCCACCACAGTCACAAACTGCTTAAGTAGCCTCCTCCCACTGACCACCCTCCAAACTAACCCACCTGGATAAAGGGGCAGCTCCGGACGAAGAGGCAGCACCGGACTAAGGGACAGCACCGGACTAAGGGGCAGCACCGGACTAAGGGGCAGCACCGGGCTAAGGGGCAGCACCGGGCTAAGGGACAGCACCTGACTAAGGGGCAGACGGGCAGTTCAGGCGCCGTTGGGCAGACGGGCAGTTCAGACGGCGTTGGGCAGACGGACAGTTCAGGCCCCGTTGGGCAGACGGCAGACTCTGGCCGTCTGAGGCGCATCGTAGGCCTGGTGCGTGGTGCCGGAACAGGAGGTACCGGTCTGAGGACACGCATCTCAGGGCTAGTGCGGGAAGCAACAACAGGACGCACAGGACTCTGGGGACACACAGGAGGCTTGGTGCGTGGTGTATGCACTGGTGGTAAAGGGCTGGAGACACGCACCATCGAGCCAGTGCGTGGAGGAGACACAGGGCTCTGAAGACGCACAGGAAACCTGGTGCGTGGTGTAGGTACTGGTGGTACTGGGCTGGAGCGAGGAGGTGGCGCTGGAAATACCGGACCGTGCAGGCGTACTGGCTCCCTTGAGCACTGAGCCTGCCCAACCTTACCTGGGTTGATGCTCCCCGTCGCCCGACCAGTACGGGGAGGTGGAATAACCCGCACCGGCCTATGTGGGCGAACCGGGAACACCATGCGTAAGGCTGGTGCCATGTACGCCGGCCCGAGGAGACGCACTGGTGACCTGCTGCGTGGGACCGGCTTCATGACATCCGGCTCAACACTCAATCTGGCCCGGCCGATACGTGGAGCTGGACTGTACCGAACCGGGCTATGCCTGCGTACAGGAGACACCATGCGCTCAACTGCGTAACACGGTGTCTGCCCGTACTCTCGCTCTCCACGGTCAGTCCAGGGAGTAGGCGCAGGTCTCCTACCTGACTTCGCCACACTCCCTCTTAGCCCCCCCCCAAGAAATTCTTGGGTAGTACCCACAGGCTTCCAGTCTTGCCTCCGTGCTGCCTCCTCATATCGCCGCCTCTCGGCTTTAGCTGCCTCCAGCTCTTCACGAGGACGGCGATATTCTCCCGGTTGTGCCCAAGGCCCCTTACCATCCAGAATCTCCTCCCATGTCCATGAATCCTTTATGGGTGGATATAAATCCTGTGTAGGTGGATCCTGTTGCCGCTTGACACGCCGCTTGGTCCTTTTGTGGTGGGTTTTTCTGTCACGATCGTCTGAGGAAACGGACCAATACGCAGCGCGTGGAGTGAACATGATGACTTTATTTAATAAAGCAACCACGAAAAACAACAAATGACGATAGTGAAGTCCTCTGTAACACTGACAGAAACATGGAACAAAAACCCACAAAACCAAGGTGAAACCACACAGTTTAAATATGGCTCCCAATCAGAGATAACGAGCCGACAGCTGTCACTCGTTACCTCCGATTGGGAGTCACATGAATACAAACAAGGAAGACAACCACCTAGACACCCCAACCAAACAGCACACAACAAAACGAACACACCCTATACCCAACCTAACCCACACAACACCCAACAATACAAACACACCCTGGTTCATAAACAACGTCCCGGAACCAGAGCGTGACACTGGCCTTCTTGAGACTAGTTGAGTATCTGGAGCATCAGCAATTGTGGGTACGATTACAGAATCAAAATGGCCAGTAACAAAGAACTTTCTTCTGAAACTCGTCAGTTTATTCTTGTTCTGAGAAATGAAGTCTACTCCATGCGAGAAATTGTTGAAACGGAAGATCTCGTACAACGCTGTGTACTACTCCCTTCACAGAACAGATCACAAACTGGCTCTAACCAGAATAGAAAGAGGAGTGGGAGGCACCGGTGCACAACTGAGCAAGAGGACAAATACATTAGAGTGTCTAGTTTGAGAAACAGACGCCTCACAGGTCCTCAACTGGCAGCTTCATTAAAATAGTACCCGCAAAACACCAGTCTCAACGTCAACAGTGAAGAGGCGACTCCGGGATGCTGACCTTCTAGGCAGAGTTGCAAAGAAAAAGCCATATCTCAGACTGGCCAATAAAAAGAAAAGATTAAGATGGGCAAAAGAACACAGACACTGGACAGAGGAAGATTGTAAAAAAGTGTTATGGACAGACGAATCGACGTTTGAGTTATTCGGATCACAAAGAAGAACATTTGTGAAACGCAGACTAAATTAAAAGATGCTGGAGGAGTGCTTGATGCCGTCTGTCAAGCATGGTGGAGGCAATGCTTGTGAATGTGATGGTCTGGGGGTGCTTTGGTGGTGGTTAAGTGGGATATTTGTACGGGGTAAAAGGGATCTTGAAGAAGGAAGGCTATCACTCCATTTTGCAATGCCATGCCATACCCTGTGGACGGTGCTTGATTGGAGCCAATTCCCTCCTACAACAGGAGAATGACCCAAAGCACAGCTCCAAACTATGCAAAAACGATTTAGGGAAGAAGCAGTCGGCTGGTATTCTGCCTATAATGGAGTGGCCAGCACAGTCACCCGATCTCAACCCTATTGAGCTTTTGTGTGAGCAGCTTGACTGTATGGTACGTAAGAAGTGCCCATCAAGCCAATCCAACTTGTGGGAGGTGCTTCAGGAAGCATGGGGTGAAATCTCTTCAGATTACCTCAACAAATTGACAACTAGAATGCCAAAGGTCTGCAAGGCTGTAATTGCTGGAAATGGAGGATTCTTTGACGAAAGCAATCCTTTGTTGCCTTGGCCGTGTGTTTTGGGTCGTTGTCATGCTGGAATACCCATCCACAACCCATTTTCAATGCCCTGGCTGAGGGAAGGAGGTTCTCACCCAAGATTTGACGGTACATGGCCCCGTCCATCGTCCCTTTGATGCGGTGAAGTTGTCCTGTCCCCTTAGCAGAAAAACACCACCAAAGCAAAATGTTTCCACATCCATGTTTGACGGTGGGGATGGTGTTCTTGGGGTCATAGGCAGCATTCCTCCTCCTACAAACACGGTGAGTTGAGTTGATGCCAAAGAGCTTGATTTTGGTCTCATCTGACCACAACACTTTCACCCAGTTCTCCTCTGAATCATTCAGATGTTCATTGCCAAACTTCAGACGTGCCTGTATATGTGCTTTCTTGAGCAGGGGGACCTAGCGGGCGCTGCAGGATTTCAGTCCTTCACGGCGTAGTGTGTTACCAATTGTTTTCTTAGTGACTATGGTCCCAGCTACCTTGAGATAATTGACAAGATCCTCCCGTGTAGTTCTGGGCTGATTCCTCACTGTTCTCATGATCATTGCAACTCCACGAGGTGAGATCTTGCATGGAGCCCCAGGCCGAGGGAGATTGACAGTTCTTCTGTGTTTTTTCCATTTGCGAATAATCGCACCAAATGTTGTCACCTTCTTACCAAGCTGCTTGGCGATGGAATTGTAGCCCATTCCAGCCTTGTGTAGGTCTACAATCTTGTCCCTGACATCCTTGGAGAGCTCTTTGGTCTTGGCCATGGTGGAGAGTTTGGAATCTGATTGATTGATTGCTTCGGTGGACAGGTGTCTTTTATACAGGTAACAAGCTGAGATTAGGAGCACTCCCTTTAAGAGTGTGCTCCTAATCTCAGCTCGTTACCTGTATAAAAGACACCTGGGAGTCAGAAATCTTTCTGATTGAGAGGGGGTCAAATACTTATTTCCCTCATTAAAATGCAAATCAATTTATAACATTTTTGACATGCGTTTTTCTGGATTTTTTTGTTGTTATTCTGTCTCTCACTGTTCAAATAAACCTACCATTAAAATTATAGACTGATCATTTCTTTGTCAGTGGGCAAACGTACAAAATCACCAGGGGATCAAATAATTGTTTCCCTCACTGGACTCTCTAACATACAGAGAGAGAGATATGTTAATTCAATCTTTTGTTGTCACAGCAGCTGGCGAGTTACTTCGTAAGCAAAAGTCTTATCTGAAGACGAGGTTTCATTTGTGTAAGTGCAGCCACAGCGCCGAGGCTGGCATGGGTTTGATTTGACTGTGCACTTTCTCCCTTTCTATTTCCATCATACAGCTCTTACTGCTATACAGTATACTTTCTGTCATGCTCTCTGAGTCTTGTCTGCTGTGTGAACCAGAACCTGAAAAATATATACTCTAGTCTAGTGGTTCCCAACCAGGGATACTAGGACCCCCTGGGGGTACTTGGCCTATCCACAGGGGGTACTTAAGAAGACCCATGAGACAATACGGTTACTGGTAAAATGCACGAGGGGGGTACTTATGGGGTACTCCGGGCAGAGCAAAAATCAGTAGATGGGACAGTAAGCGAAAAAGGTTGGGAACCACTGCTCTAGTCAATGAAATGAAAGGCAGTGGTATTTTTAAAAGAGGTAGAGCCAACTCTTGAGAAGGAGTAAGACTTTTTTTTATTTTGGGGTATTTTACCCCCTTTTACGTGGTATCCAATTGGTAGTTACAGTCTTGTCCCAACGGGAGAGGCGAAGGTCAAGAGTTGTGTGTCCTCTGAAACACAACCCAACTGAGCCACACCCCACTTAACCCGGAAGCCAGCCGCACCAATGTGTCGGAGGAAACACCGTACACCTGGTGACAGAGTCAGCATGCACTGCACCCGGCCTGCCACAGGAGTCGCTAGTGCGCGATGGGACAAGAACATCCCTGGACAACGCTGGGCCAATTGTGCATCCCCCCATGTGTCTCCCGGTCGCGGCCGGCTGCGACAGAGCCTGGACATCGAACCAGGATCTCTAGTGGCACAGCTAGCACTGTGATGCAGTGCCTTAGACCACTGCGCCACTTGGGAGGCCCAGGAGTAAGACATTTCTGCCTGAGCTAAGCTTGGTTGGGTTGTGTTTTGTGTTCTGCGATGCATTGAGACCAAGGTGTCTGTAGTCTGAGCTTGTCTCAAGACCCTGACTGCAGGATCGAGAATTGATCTGTGGTGCCATAGCAGTTTGAATCATGTGTCATAAACAGACATAAACCAAATTAAGCAGAGATAAGCGTGATATTATGAAGGGTTAAGTGTTGTTACGTTATGCTCTCAGATTACTCTCTCTCTCTCTCTCTCTCTCGCTCTCACTCTCTGTCTCTCTCTCTCTGTAGGAATGCAGGTGTTGGAGTGGAACGGGGTTCCTCTGATGGGGAAGACTTACGAGGAGGTGCAGTGCATTATGGGTCAGCCGTGTGCAGAGACTGACCTCTGTGTGAGACTGTGAGTCAAACATCTTACTCCTCATCGCTGTCTCTCCTTTCTCATCCATCTCTCCTCTTATCCTCTTATCTTAATTTAGATGAGAACTAAATTTGACCTTCCTGTCCCTCTCTCAGTGACCTGAACATGCTGTCTGACCCTGAGCATCCCCAGGCCCTGGAGAACCATGCCCAGCTGAAGCCTGGTACACCACTACATTGTTATAATGCTTCATCATGTCTATTGCACTTTGTTGTTATAATGTATCATAATGTTTATGTAACTTTATAATGCATCATTGTGAATGTAACTATGTGTGTGTGTGTGTGTGTGTGTGTGTGTGTGTGTGTGTGTGTGTGTGTGTGTGTGTGTGTGTGTGTGTGTGTGTGTGTATATGTGTATATGTGTAGGTGACAGGCAGTGTTCGCCAGGAGTGGACCCTAAGCAGCTGGCTGCAGAGCTGCAGAAGGTTTCCCAACAGCAGGCCCCTGGGATGGGGATGGGGGTAGGAATGGGGGTGGGGGGGCCAGGAGGAGTAGGGGTCCTCTCTGCCCTGGACCGCTCAGCTCTGTTACACTCAGGCAATGCATCGGCCAGCTCTAGTGCTGTCCCCAGCCCCGGCCAGCCTGCCTCCCCAGCCATCAACAAGAAACAACGCCACAGCGCCAAGGTACTACCTTCACTAGTAGTACATTATGATACTGAGAGCCCATAGCTCCCTGTAGAGTGTGTTATTACAGCCATATGGCTGGTGAGTTCATGATTAATAGTTCACAAATGCTGTACATGTGTGTGTGCGTGCGTGTGGGGAGAGGTCAAGGTCAACTGCTGTGGCTGCATTGTGGATCACAGAAACATGACAGTCTAATTATAGAGAAACATGCATGGTATACACTACTGGTCAAAAGTTTTAGAACACCTACTCATTCAAGGGTTTTTTCTTTATTTTTACTGTTTTCTACATTGTAGAATAATAGTGAAGACATCAAAACTATTAAATAACACTCAGGACAATGACCCAACACACCTCCAGGCTGTGTAAGGGCTATTTGACCAAGAAGGAGAGTAATGGAGAGCTGCATCAGATGACCTGGCCTCCACAATCCCCCGACCTCAACCCAATTGAGATGGTTTGGGTTGAGTCGGATGGCAGAGTGAAGGAAAAGCAGCCAACAAGTGCTCAGCATATGTGGGAACTCCTTCAAGACTGTTGGAAAAGCATTCCAGGTGAAGCTGGTTGAGAGAATGCCAAGAATGTGCAAAGCTGTCATCAAGGCAAATGGTGGCTATTTGAAGAATCTCAAATATAAAATATATTATGATTTGTTTAAATGAATGAGTAGGTGTATTCAAACTTTTGACTGGTAGTGTGTATATATATATATATATATATATATATATATATATATATATATATATATATATATATATATATATATGGGTGATTCTTTAACTATGGTACTTTTCTTGTCCCTGGATGAAATAATAAAAACTAAAAAACATTTCTTCTTTTTTGTTTTTGTCATACTTACTCCACCCTAAGGGGAACTTATAAAAAATGTATCATGGCTCAATCATTCTTTTTATTATATAATATGAGGCCTTTTATGCATGTTTTTTACTGTTTTCCCTCTGTCCCTAAGCCAGACTTTGTATCTTCAACCTCGCTTAATTCTAAATTAAATATTTAAATAATGTAGATTTCAAGTACAAATGATAAAATACCATTTATTTCAATTCTACATATTATATATTGTGATACATATTCACATTTTCCTATATTTTTCATAAATAGAACCCTTGTCCCTTGGGGTCACTGTCATTTCCACCACACTGTACAAAATAGAATCCTGGGATCAGTGTTTTAGGTTTGTATATTTAGTAACCATAGCAACAGAAACTCCACAGTGGAACACATGGCTGGATGAAATGGTGTCCTCTACAGGGGGTAATGAAAAGAAGAAAAATCAAGGTAAATATGAGTAAAACTGAGAGTATGTTTATTGGTCGTCATTTCCAAACAGCTCATATTTCACATGGACGTAAAAATAACTGGATACATTTAATTTAATAATGTGTAATTTGTGTATATTTAATGCTAACTCTAAAACTAATATTAGCAGGCTAACATAGCATGAGATTTTAGAGGGAAAGTGGGGAAATGTCATTTCCACCACAGTCATTTCCACCACGGTGTTCATTGTGGTGGTAAAGACAGGTTGTGGTGGAAATGACATTGTTCGTGCTAAACAGCAAATTATTTGGGCTATAATACTGATACTAAATTCAAAAACAGTTTTAACAATATTACAATATTGTTGGTAAATAAGAGAACAATAGATAAGTAGGTTTGACATGATGTCTTGGCTCTTTCTTTAAGATGGCAAGCAATACCACAGCACAGAGGTCAAGATCATACAGAGAAAGAATAAAATCAGATCCACTTAAATATGCAGAGTCCCTCAAGAAGGACAGAGAAAGATACCTGAAGAAAAAGCAACAAGGTGTTGTTAAATCTGTGACAGAAATGCCGAAAAGAGAACAACGAAAAATGAGAAGACAGTGGCGAATTTCTCAACGAAACAGACGTAGGAAATGGAAAATGGTCTCAGCAGTGAATAGTTTCATGGCACATACAACACCACCACCATCACCAGACAACATGAGTGTTAATGCAGAAGACATCCCTGAAACACCTCAGCTGTGTGAGCCTACACCAGAGAGAACTCCACAGAGGAAAAGAGGGAGAAAAAAGGTTGCGAAGGCAAAAGCAAAGGTGTACAGAGATCTTAATGACATTAAACAAAAGCTTGAGGATGCCCTCAGAAAAGTTGAAAAATACAAAAAAATAAGTAATCGACTGAAGAAGAACCTGGGGATCCTAGAGTCACCTAAAATGAAAACAAAGCAACAGATGCAGCAAGAAAGCAAGCAATTAAAGAAGACACTCCTATTCCATAACACCATTATGTCAGAAATAAGAAAAAAGTATCCGAATGTTGACAATCGTAAAGCTCGGCAACTGATCTCCAAACTTGTGGCTGGCAAGATCTTAAAAAAATACCGCCTGGTCACCATGGCCAAGAAGGAGTTTGGATTCTCTACAAAACTAATCAGGACAAACATGACAAGGGCCGACAAACTCAAATACACCCGCATGGAGACTGCATTGGGATCACCAAGTTCAAGCACACTTACCAGCACATCTCAACCCATCATAGACCTGCATGAGGGACTGATTGGAAGTTGGTGTGTGGTACGGTATGATGGGGATCCTTACCCTGGCATTATACAGGATGTGGACCCTGAGGGTTGTGCTCTGGTGAGAACCATGAGTCATATTGGCAAAAACAAGTTCTTCTGGCCTATGAGAGACGATGTTATTTGGTACCGGCCAGAAGATGTGATCAGGCTGGTCCCAGAGCCTCAACCAGTAACAAAGAGGCATGTGATGGTGGAGCCAACAGTTTGGAAAGAAATATGCTCTGTTCTTGACCATGAAACATAACTGAACCTCTGGCCCATATGCAAGTTTGACAGATACAGTATTTAGCAAATACAATGTCTATTTAGTCAGATTCAACTTGTTATTCCACATGATTACGTTTGACAGTACATGGATTTACGATATAACACACATGACAGTAATGTTTAAGTACAGAGTGTTTGCTCTGGTTCAGCATAGGCATATAAGTTTTCAATTTCAAAATATATTGCCTATTTTATCTGTTATTCAACTGGTTATATTAAGGTTATGTTAAGGTAATGATGACATAAAGGGTTTGCTCTAGTTTGTACTAGTTTGCTCTAGTTCAGCATGTAGAAAACAGTGAAGAAATGATTTGCTGATTTTTAACACAAATTCATGTTTTTTCATTTTTTGGATTGTTTTTAATTTAAAAATATTGGTGATATGTTTTTGTTCACAAATGCTGTTGCTTATTGATTTGCTCTGGTTCACCACATAGAGCAGTAGAAAAATTGTTTTTAATTGGAAGTTGCCTATCTGTCATTTCCGCCACACACTGTCTCTTCCGCCACGCCATGTCATTTCCACCACAACACATATTTTAAAGTAAAACATATAAAAAACATACAATCAAACCAACTATATTCAGTGGTGTTGATAATTGTGCAGTTAGGGCTAAGATTTGTGTATACACTTTGAGAAATATATGATTTTGAGCTATGATAAGAAAATGAAATGTTCCATTGACCTAGTTTTAGGTGTTTTTTAGTGTAAACATTGTAAAATCTTTACAGTTACATTTCTGAAAAAAATAATAAATTACAAATTTGAACAGATATGTGTGTGCTATTTAATCAAATATATTTATAACAGAAGATATTTCATTATTTTCTCTTAAAAATACATGTTTTGTTATGTGATGGAAATGACCGTTTTGTTGGACTGTCAGATAAAAATGGCAAAAAATATATATTAGTAAATACAAATCATCACAGCCAACTTCAGGGAAGGTTTCCAGACAGATTGAGAAACCAACTGATACTAAAAAATTGTTTGTAGAAATGTTTTTATTTTCTGAAACTGTCTAGCTCAAAGAGTACCATAGTTGAAGAATTACCCATATATATATATATATATATATATATATATATATATATATATATATATATATATATATATGAATATTGAGAGAGAGAGAGCGAGAGAGAGAGAGAGAGAGAGAGAGAGAGAGAGAGAGAGAGAGAGAGAGAGAGAGAGAGAGATTAACTACTTTCTATGATAGGTAGATTATGTAGTATACTGCATCTCAATTAACTGAATTAACCTTCTCTGACTTGTGGGAGGTGCTTCAGGAAGCATGGGGTGAAATCTCTTCAGATTACCTCAACAAATTGACAACTAGAATACATATTATAGAGTCCATTCAGAAAGCTCTACTCAGCATCTCCAGGACAAGGACAGGTCCTTTATCTGTCATCTGACAATAGCTATCCTACACAGGGGCTCTAGCCAACCTACTGCTACTTAAAACCATAGTATGATGGACACAGTAACTGAACTTTTCAGGCAGACCAGAGGCCACACTACAAGCAGGGCTTCTCATGGCAGTGTGGGTGTTTGTTAATGTAGAGTGTGTGAACATGTATCAATGAGACTGATATCGGTATAAACAGAGTGTATAATCGATACTTGGTTTGTTTTTCAGTCGGCAGCAGATGTTCAAGTGCTAAAGCCTCAGCCTCATCCTATAACAGGAGAAATACAGGTAGGCCTGCTCAGGGGCAGCACCAGAGGGGGGGCATGCCACCCCTAAAATATGATTGGCCACCCTTAGTGCCCCCCCCCCCCCCCCCCCCCCCCAATGTGTTTGTTCAGGCAATTTATTGTGGCTGGCTTTAGGACCATGCGGATGCCTTGGAGTGGGCGCAAAGGCTGTGATTGGCTGGCTGGCTTTAGGACTATGGAGAGCTTGGCTACAGTGAGGGAACACTGAACTGTGCAATGTCTCTCAATTGATTTGTGGAAAGCAGCGCAGAGCAGGAAGGTGGCTAGGTAACTGCTGGTTGAGTTGACAGGAAACTCAACTAGTTTTTAATCCCAGTGCAGAGCTAGTGTGTAGCAGCTATCAGGCCGACAGCCTCATTGCATCAATACTGCGTAATAAATTCTGCAGTCAAACTTTTTTCATTATGTAATCCAACATTTTACTGGATATGTGTGCAACAAAAGTTCAACATTCACCTTTTACTACTAAGTCTATGCAAACAGTTTGATGCATTCGTTGGATAAATCCAATGTATGCGCCACACAGAACACAGAATGCAATTCTGCAAGGCAAACGCAGCGTTCCATTGGAAATTAATGTACTTCTGGTGTACCAAAACGCAGTGACGCTGTCGGTCTGATCGAGGCATAATTGCTTTATGGCATGTGTTTGTCCTTTATCGACTGAGGTGAATGAAGCTACAGCAGCCAAGGTGAGAATGGCTGGAGTAAATGTTGCTTCTTTTTTTGCTGTTCTCCAAATATAATTGTAGAGAAATCCGCTTTAAACAAAATAAATTCCTTGTAGGGGGTTACCACTGAACTTGTATCTAACTTGAATATTTTCCCTATGTTAAATAAATTAGGGCAGTTACAAATAAACACTTATTCAATACAACGCATCGTAGTTTAAGCCAA